CGGCTATTTTTTTGGTTGCAGCCGTCATTGTTGTTTGGCGGGTCCAGGCTGGGGATTCGAACCCGCCACCTTAGGTGTACGTGGCTGGCACCTTAGCCGGTTGAGCTATAGGCGCCGAGCCTCATTTATCCTTTTTTAAAGGAAATGTAAATATAAGTAATCTTCCATTAATTTACACATCGATGCCTGTGGCTCAGTGGGTAGGGTGCCGGCCTCATATACTGAGGGTGGCAGGTTCGAACCCGGCCCAGGCCAAACTGCAACAACAAAAAAATAGCCGGGCATGGTGGCGGGCACCTATAGTCCCAGCTACTCAGGAGACAGAGGCAAGAGAATTGCCTAAGCCCAGGAGTTGGAGGTTGCTGTGAGCTGTGACACGGCAGCACTCTACTGAGGGCAATAAACTGAGACTCTCCCTCTAAAAAAAACAACAACAAAAATTACACATTTAAAATATTCCCTAGGAAATGCAAATTAAAGTCACTCCCACTAAACTTGCAAACATGTAGAAAAACAGACACTCTCAGCTTGGCACCCGTAGCACAGTGGTTACAGTACCAGCCACATACACTGAGGGAGGCAGGTTTGAACCCAGCCCAGGCCAGTTGAACAACAATAACAACTGTAACAAAAAATAGTCGGGTGTTGTGTCAGGCACCTATAGACCCAGCTACTTGGGAGGCTGAACCAAGAGAATCACTTAAGGCCAAGAGTTTGAGGTTGCTGTGAGAGGTAATACCACAGCACTCTACCCAGGGTGACATAGTGAGACTCTGTCTCAAAAAAAAAAAAGAAAGTAAGAAAAACACTCTTATACATTGCTGGTACAAATTTTAGTTGGTACACCTGACATGTAGAACAATCTAGTAATCTGCTTTTTTTTTTCTTTTTTTAGACACAGAGTCTCACTTTGTTGCCCTCAGTAGAGTACTGTAACATCACAGCTCACAGCAACCTCCAGCTCTTGGAACTGAGACTCTGTCACAAAAACCAAAAACAAACAAACAAAACCAAAAACACACATGAGACAAAGAAGAAATCTTGAGAGAAATAAAAAATACTTTAAACCAGGCTTGGCACCCATAGCTCAGTGGTTAGGGTGCTGGCCACATATATAGAGGCTGGCAGGTTCAAACCTGGCCAGGCTAACTAAACAATGACAACTACAACAGAAAAAATAGCCAGGCGTTGTGGCAGGCGCCTATAGCTCCAGCTAGTCGGGAGGCTGAGGCAGGAGAATCGCTTGAGCCCAAGACTTTGAGGTTGCTGTGAGCTGTGACACCATAGCACTCTACTGGGGGTGACAGTGAGATTCTTGTCTCAAAAGAAAAAAACAATTTTAAACCAAATGAAAACATAACTTATCAAAATGTGTGGGAGGTAGGGAAAGCAGTGCTAAAAGGAGGAAAATGTATAGCACTGAATACATATGTTGAAAAGATATGTCAATTACCTAAGTCTCCACCTTACAAAACCAGAAAAAGAAGAGCAAATTAAATCCAAAGAAAGCAAAAAGAAAGAAATAATAAATATTAGAGGAGAAACTGATGAAACTGAAAACAGGAAATCAACAGAGAACAATGACCAAAACCAAAAGCTGGTTCTTTGAAAAGATCAACAAAATCAGTATATCTCCAACCAGGCTAAAAAGAAAAGAGAGAACATAAGTTATATTCATTGTCAAATAATGACATTTTGGTCAGCAATGGCAACACACTACTTGTCTCCAATGATGGCTAGTGAAAATAAATTTACTGCCCTGCTAATGGCATAGAAGATGACAGCTTGATTCACCTTGCTACCTAGTGAGACAGTGACGATGATCCCAACCCTGTCTAAGCCTAGACTTACGTCTCAGCACCCATAGCTCAATCGTTAGGGCACTGGCCCCACATACATGGACAATGGCGGGTTTGAACCTGCCCTGCTAAACAACAACAACTACAAAAAAAAAATAGCTGGGCATTGTGGCGGGTGCCTGTAGTCTCAGCTACTCAGGAGGCTGAGGCAAGAGAATCATTTAAGCCCAAGAGTTAGAAGATGCTGTGAGCTGTGACGCCACAGGACTCTACCAAGGGTGATATAATTAGACTCTTGTCTCAAAAAAAAAAAAAAAAAAGCTTACACTTAGGTGTGTTTCTTTCTTTTTTTTTTTGAGACAGAGTTTCATTTTTGTCACCCTTGGTAGAGTGCCATGGTATCAGAGCTCAGAGCGATCTCAAACTCTTGGGGTCAAGTGATTCTCTTGCCTCAGCCTCCCGCGTAGCTGGGACTAGAGGCGCCCAACAAAATGACTGCTTATTTTTAGAGATGGAGTCTCGCTCTTGCTCAGGCTGGTCTCAAACCTGTGAGCCCAAGCACTCCACCCTCCTCAGCCTCCAAGAGTGCTAGGATTACAGGTTATGAGCCACCATACCAGCCCATGTATGTGTTTGTATCTCAGTTTTTTCTTTTTTTACCCTGGAGTACAATGGCATAATCATAGCTCACTATAACCTTAAATTCCTAAGCTCAAAACCAGCCGGAGCAAAAGCAAGACCCCAGCTCTACTAAAAATAGAAAAACTAGCAGAACATCATAGTGGGCACTTGTAGTAACCAGTTACAGGCAGGAGGCAGAGGCAAGAGGATTGCCTGAGCTCAAGAGTTTGAGGATGCTGTGAGCTATGATGCACAGCACTACCCAAAACAACACAGTAAGACTGTCTCAGAACATATAAAAATTTAAAAAATAAACAAGGGCACACTGGCTCACACCTGTAATCAGCACTCTGGGAGGCAGAAGCGGGCGGATTGCCTGAGGTCACAGGTTCAAGACCAGCCTAAGCAAGAGCGAGACGCTGCCGCTAAAAACAGCCAGGCACTGTGGCAGGCACCTACAGTCTCCGTTACTCAGGAGGCTGAGGCAAGAGAATCACTTGAGACCAGGAATCTGAGATTGCTGTGAGCTGTGATGTTACAGCACTCTACTGGGGGCAACAAAGTGAGACTATCTCAAAAAATAAAATGAAGAAATAAAAGCGCCGCCCTAGCTTACTTTTACTTTATAAGCTTTTATAATACATGAACCCCCATATAAACTGGACTTTGGGCAATATGATGCTTGATGATAACACATGTACCATTCTGGCAGGGGATGTTGATAATGGGAGAGGCTGTGTGGGACAGGAAATACATGGGCAATGTCTGTATGCTGTATTACTGTGAATCTTAAATTTCTTAAAAAATAAAATTTATTAATGTTTTAAATACAGTGCAGGCACAACTTAACAGTCAAAATGTTCAACTCTGGCTCGGCGCCTGTGGCTCAAGCGGCTAAGGCGCCAGCCACATATACCTGAGCTGGCAGGTTGAAATTCAGCCTGGGCCTGCCAGACAACAATGATGGCTGCAACCAAAAAAAAAATAGCCAGGCGTTGTGGTGGGCGCCTGTAGTCCCAGCTACTTGGGAGGCAGAGGCAGGAGACTCACTTGAGTCCAGGAGTTGGAGGTTGCTGTGAG